TTTTTTTTTTGAGAGGTTTTTGCTATAGGGCTCGTGCACTTGCCAGACAGACAGAGACAGAGAGACAGAAAGCAAGAAATCACCCCCCAGAGGGGACATGGCCACACCACAATCCTGTCTCCTCCATTCTCCTTTCGGGATCTTGGGCACACACGCACACGCACACGCACCTGGTGTGAGTTTTAAGCCACCGGGTCCAGGATGCGAACTGTGGTTGACTACATGGGAGTCCAGCAACATAGCCATTATGCTAACGCTGGTCCCAGCCCAATTCAGGTTTCTAAATACAAGTCCTTCCTTTCAGCAAGAAGGGAATGTGAGAAATCATTGAATGTGCTCTCTACAACAAACCCCATTTTTTTTCCAAATTAATTCACCAGTGGTAACTCACTTTAGACTTTATTTTTCTCCACTAGAGGAGAGCAAGGCCCTGTTTTGCTTAATAGTGATTCCTGATTCCTAGAACAGTGTATCAGGTGCATTTCAAGTACCCCAATAAATATTTAATTAATAAATGGATTTTCCTATAGTCCTAGAATATTAAAAAGTTCATAGTCAATGTTTGGGGAAAATCCTTCTCTGATGAGTCATTATATATGATCCCAAAAGGAGATCAGCAAATCCTGAGAGGAGAATGGAGGAGAAGGGATTGAGGCCTGGCCATTTCCCCTGGGGGGTGATTTCTCATTTTCTGTCTCTCTGTCTCTCTCTGTCTCTCCAGCAAGTGTATGTGTCCTATTGCAAAAATCTCTCCTAAAAACAATAGTCATAGTTAAAACTCCCAGAACCCTAGGAGGGTATCCATGACCACAATCCCCGCCTCTTCTAGCTCATTCGGTTAGCTCTCATTTCTTTTCCACCCATGACAAACTTTGAAGAACTCATATGCATTTGTAAGGCCTTCATCAATTCTTGGTATTGCCAATCTATGTGGAAACTGGAGCAAAGGAGACTTCAGAGTCTGCCCGACTCTCACTTTCCAATTCTTATCCTCACTGACTGTCAGTGTGGAATTCACCATGACTTAGATATGTATTGCTATGGAATGAGCCCTTAACTGAGCAGAAAGCAAGTTTTTAAAGTTTTTTTTTTTTTTTTCAATCTTGCCAGAAAATGGGTGCACTTGCCAGAGAGACAGGGAGACGAAAGACTATCCCTCATGGAGAATGGTCATACTGAATCCCTCTTCCATTTCTCCCTCCTTTTGGGATTTTGGGCACACATGCTCATGTGCCCAGCATGTTCCTCAAGGTCCAGAACTCAAACCATACAGTCAGCCATGTGAGATCCAGCCACTACATGCTAGAACTAAAATTTATCTATTCATTCTATAGTGAGAGAGACAGAGATCTGTGCCCCCAACAGGGCCTCAATGTCACAGTCACTTCCAGCTTCAGCCAGCGTGGATCCTGGGCAAATACACGCCCTGTGTCCTCAGGGAGGTGTCCCAACACAAACCACAAACTGCTTCAGAGCATCGTGTTTTACCAATGTGCCACTGCCCAGCCCCCCGAGCAGAAAGACATTTTTCTGAGTTCCAGATAAGCCACTTAGCTATGTGCTTTCTATAAATCACCTCAAGGCTCTGCGCTCCATCTTCCTTTTCAGTAAGAAGATCATGATAACTTGCCCTGTCAATTTCACAGAGTCATAAAAATCAATTTCACTCACTTATTTAATAAATATTTTTTAGTGGTCTACTACATGCCAGATATTGACCTGGGTTCTAGAAATGAATATGCTAATAAAACAGTTCCTGTGCCTCAGAGCTATGCTGGAAGAAAACAGTGTAATTAAATCTACAAATAAATATATAATGTGCCAGGTGGTGGCGAGGGCTATGGAGAAAAATCGCACAGAGTGAGAAATGCAGGCCATGTAGGAAAAGAGCTCCTGTGTCTTATATGACGGTCCAGAATGGGACACTAGAATAAATACCAGTGAATGAGGCCCAGAAAGACATGAGG